AATCAGGATAAGGAGGCGGAGGAGGAGGAGGACGAGAAGGAGGAGGAGGAGGGGAAGGAGGAGGAGGAGAAGGACAAGTGTAAACCCAAGAGCCATCAACGATGTTGGAATACACCTTCCAAGCTCCCTCTTCATAAACAGAATACAACATTCGCTTTAAACAATTGCAAGAGCTTCACGGAGTGAGGGTGGTTCTTTGTCAAAATGTGGTTCTCGCCTTAGCGCCGCGCACATTCGCTCTAAACATGGTACAAGATTTTCACGGAATCCCACGATGAACGTACCAGAAATTGTGTGTTGGAAGGATTCAAAATTTTGCGGGTGCAACAGTTACGTTGATTGATGGTTGTGGTTAAAATCCTAAGATTGGCGTATTGGCACGATCCATGATCGACAAGACGCAGCTGTTAGATTGATCCGTGGCGTTGGAATCCCTAGAACAATGTTTTGGCATGTTTCCGGGTCTTCAAACGGTTTTCTTCCAACGAGGCAGATCCCTCAATGGACATGAACCGTTGTAGGGGCATATGAAGAGGGAGCTTGGAGGGAGGGTGTATTCCAACATCGTTGATGGCCCTTGGGTTTACACTGGTCTTCCTCCTCCTCCTCCTCCTCCTCCTCCTCCTCCTCCTCCTCCTCCTGCTCCTCCTCCTCCTCCTCCTCCTCCTCCTCCTCCTCGGGCTGGGTCTCCAGAGCCGGGCTGCGCCGCCTGCCAGACGCGGCTGGGGGGAGGGGGCCCTGCCCTTGCCCCCCTTGCGCCCCTTTTCCCCAGGGGACCGGGCTCGGGGCCCTGGCCCAGCTGCCTTCAACGTCGATGGGGGACTTGGCACGACGGTCTTCGGGCCCCCCTGGTCTCAGAGGGATGTCCAAGGGCTCTCGGGCAGGCTTCGGAGAGCTTCGAAGCAGCCCAAGATGGCCTCCAGATGGCCGATGGGGCCCTAAGACGCCCCAGGCGTGTCCGAAGACTTCCGATGCCCAATGCGGCATGTGGAGACGAGCAACCATGTTGCTCAATGATATTCGTTTCCGCGTTTCTGAAGGCCCACTGCGGCTCCAGAGCATCGCCCCGAGACGGGCGAAGCGGGCCCAAAGGGGTCCTCAAGACGGCCCCGTAGCCACTGCGGCTCAAGTTGCCTACTGCCGCGGGGGAAGCCCCGCCTCGCAGAAGTCCCCCGCAGCCAGGCGCCCCGCTTCTGACCTCTCCGCGACGTTGGGCGGAGCGCAGCGCTCCATCGCCGAGGCCGGGGGGATTGTGGAGTCGCTGTGGGTTTTTGACGAAAATTTGCGATATGTCAGTTTGTTCCTCATCATTATGCTGATGTTTCCTTTCTCGTTTTTTCTCTCTCTCTCTCTCTCTCTCAATCTCTCCCACTCCCATTCCCATTCCACTCCCATTCCAAATACCATTACCATTACCATTCCCATCCCAATTCCCATTCCCATTCACATTACCGTTGCCATTACCTTTATCTTTACCTTTACCTGTACCATTACCATTACCATTACTATTGCCATTACAATTGCCAGTGCCATTACCACTGCCATTACAATTGCCATTATCATTGCCATTGCCATTGCCAGTGCCGTTGCCATTGCCATGGTATTGCCATTGCCAGTAGCCACCCCGTTACCATTACCGTTACCATTCCCATTACCATTACCATTCGCCACCACCATTACCATTGCCATTATCATTAGCATTACCAACACAATTGCCATTACCATTACCATTACCGTTGCCATCACCATTACAATTCCCATTCCCATCATCATTGCCATTACCGTTACCAGTACCATTTCCATTACCATTGCCATTATCTTTCCCACTACCACTACCATTTCCGTTCCCGTTCCCGTTCCAATTACTACTACGATTCCCATTACCATTACCATTACCATTACCATTACCATTACCATTACCATGACCATGACCATGACCATGACCATGACCATGACCATGACCATGACCATGACCATGACCATTACCATTGCCATGGCCATTGCTATTGCCATTGCCGTTGCCGTTGCCATTCCCATTACCATTGCCAATCGCTACCCCGTTACCATTGCCATAACCATTACCATTACCGTTATCGTCACCATTACCATTCCCAGTACCATTATCATTACCACTGTCATTGCCATTACCATTACCATTGCCATTGCCATTGCCATTCGCCACTACCATTACCATTGCCATTCGCCACTACCATTACCATTACCATTGCCATTGCCATTGCCATTAGCCACTACCATTACCGTTGCCAGTACCATTACCATTCCGATTAACATTCCCATTCCCAATACCATTACCATTACCATTACAACTGCCATTGCCATTACCATTACCTTTACCTCTACCTTTACATTTACCCTTACCCTTACCATTCCCATTTCCGTTACCACTACCAGTGCCATTTCCATGCCCGTTCCCATTCACATTCACATTCCCATTCCCGTTCCCATTCCCATTCACATTACCATTGCCATTACCATTACCATTGCCATTGCCATGGCCATGGCCATTACCATTGCCATTGCCATTCCCATTGCCATTGCCATTGCCACTGCCATTGCCATTGCCATTACCGTTGCTGTTGTCATTGTCATCGCCATTGCCAGTCGCCACCCCGTTACCACTATCATTACCGGTACCATTACCAGTACCATTACCATTACCTCTGTCATTACCATTACCACTCGCATTGCCTTTGCCATTGCCATTAGCCACTACCATTACCATTGCCAGTACCATTTCCATTGCCATTCCCATTCTCATGACCATTACCATTACAATTACCATTATCACTATCATTTCCATTACCATTACCTTTACCTCTACCTTTACCTTTACCCTTACCCTTATCATTCCCATTTCCGTTACCACTACCACTACCATTTCCATTCCCGTTCCCGTTCCTATTCCCATTCACATTCCCATTCCCGTTCCCATTCCCATTACCATTGCCATTATCATTACATTTACCATTGCCATTGCCATGGCCATTATCATTGTCATTGCCATTGCCAATCTCATTGCCATTGTCATTACCATTACCGTTGCCATTGTCATTGCCATTGCCAATCGCTACCCCCTTACCATTACCATTACCGTTACCATTACCAGTACCAGTACCATTACCTCTGTCATTACCATTACCATCACCATTGCCATTGCCATTCGTCACTACCATTACCATTGCCAGTACCATTTCCACTCCCATTCCCATTACCATGATACTACCGCTGCCATTACCATTAGAATTCCCATTCTCATTCCCATTCCCAATACTATTACAATTTCCAGAACCATTCCCATTACCAGTGCCATTACCATTACCACTACCACTATCACTTCCATTGCCGTTCCCGTTCCCATTCCCACTTCCATTCCCATTACCATTACCATTGCCATTGCCAGTACCATTACCATTACCATTACCATTACCTTTAACTCTACCTTTACCTCTACCCTTACCATTGCCATGGCCATTACCATTGCCATTGCCATTGCCATTGTCATTGCCATTCCCATTGCCATTGCCATTACCATTACCATTACCGTTGCCATTGCCATTGTCATTGCCTCGCTACCCCGTTACCACTATCATTACCGTAACCATTACCAGTACCATTACCAGTACCATTACCATTACCATTACCATTGCCATTGCCATTGCCATTGCCATTCGAGGATTTCAGTAGGAATCATTCAGTGGAGGGTTTCAGTAGGAATCCACATGTGGAGGATTTCGGTAGGAATCATTCAGTGGAGGGTTTCGATAGGAACCCTTCTGTCGAGGATTTTACTGTGAATCCTTCTTATGGGGGCGTCCAATAGGAATCCTTCTAGGGGGGAGGGCAGATGTGGTCACGTCGCATTCCTTTTTTTTTCCTCCTGGCGCCCCCCCCCCCCCCCCCCCAGAAAAAAAAAAACAAAAAAAAAACAAAAAAAAAAAAAAAAAAAATATATATATATATATATATATATATATATAGGTTTTTTTTCTGGGGGGGGCGCCTGGAGCAAAAAAACAACAAAAAAAAAAAAAAGCAGAGAGGTAGCAGGAGGGGGAGAGGGAGGAGGAGGAGGAGGAGGAGGAGGAGGAGGAGGAGGAGGAGGAGGAGGGGGCGGAGGAGGAGGAGGAGGATGACGACACAGAGCAGAGTTTGCACAGAAACAGTCGCGAACTCAGCGCGAAACCCTCGCGCGCGCGCTTTTGAACCCCTGCGACTCCACAATCCCCCGTTCTCCCATCGCCCCCGTGCTGGCCGCATTCCTCTGCCTGGATATCACGACGTTTTCCAACGTCTACGTCTCACAGCCGTCTGCGAGGGGGCGGCCGCATGGGCTCGCGCATCGACCTCCGCGGCGTCTGGGAGCGGGTCGGCGGCGAGGCCGAGGGAGGCAGCCCCCAAGACCTCTACGCCGTCGTCCTCCTGCGCCCGTGCCTGTGGGGAGTCACCCGGAGGCGGCAGAGAGGCCACGGCCAGCTCGAGAAGAGCTTCACCATCAGCTACGACCGGACAGACGGCGTGCACTACTGGGGCATCAAGAAGGCCTACTTCTTCGACCCCGTGAGGGACGTCACGGCGGACCAGCGGGTGCACTGGCACGAGGCCGGCAGCACCCGCGCCAGGCCCGCCTTCACATGGCTGCGGCGGCCCGGGGAGGCGCCTCGCTCCTCCATCTCGAGCTGGGGCGCCGGCGAGCCAGAGTGGGGCGCCACTGGCCAGGGATGGCGCTCGCCGTCTACGTGGAGTTGGGAGCACCCTGGGCGCGACGAGAAGCAGGTCGCACCCGAGTCCGACGGCGTGGAGTGGCAGGGCGGCTGGAAGGGGCCATCGCCCTCGAGGGGCCGGCAGAGCGCCTGGTGGGATTGGCAGCAGCCCGCCCCGGAGGCGCACGGCGGCGGGCGGTGGGCAGGCGCGGAGTGGCAGCAGCCCGCTGCGCAGCCGGAGGAGCACAAGCATCGCGTGCCGCGGCGGCCGCCCCACTCGGGGGAGTGGGGGCGCTCTCCCGGCGGCGCGCGGGCGCAGTCGGCCCTGGAGGACCCCGAGCCAGAGCCGAGCACGGGCCCAGAGCACCGGACTGGCTCCCAGTGCGGCCTGGTTCTGCCCGCGGCGGCCGCGCCAGACCGCCGTCTCGAGCCGTTCCTGGCGGACAAGCTGTGGACCAGCGGGCGCTTCGGCCTTCTCGAGGTCTCTGGCGGGGGCAGCCCGGACTGCCTGCACGTCCAGGTGACCGCAGCCTGGGGCTTGCGGCTGCGAGGCACCAGCCTGACGCTGGAGCTGCCCGGTCTGTGCCTGAGGCTGGTCGGCAAGGCGAGCGATCCGGGCAGCCACGCGGTCTGGCACAGCGTGCCAGCCGAGGTGGGTGCGCCCAGCTTCAAGGACGCATGGTCTCGGGTGGGTGTCGTCGAGACGCCCATCCCTGTGGGGGCAACCCGGGAGGAGCAGATCCTTCGCCCTTTCATCGTGGGCAGCACCTGGAGGAGCCAGGTCTTCGGCGACCTGGCTGTCTCGGGGGAGCCAGCCGCCGGTGCTCTGGCCGTGCAGCTCGTGGAGCCCTGGGAGCTCCGCGCGTGGGGCGGCAGCGTGGCGCTGGAGACCCCGGGCGGCCTCCGCTGGCAGCTTGCAACGAGCCGGAGCGGCGCTGAAGAGTGCCGCGCGGTGTGGACGAGATTGGGCGCAGCCGCAGGCGCCGTCGATCCCCTGGAGGACCGCTGGTGCCGCGGGGGCCCCGGGGCCAAGGTGGCGACAGGAGGCGGCGCTGCTGGCCACGGGAGCCCCTCTGGGGGCGCGGCGAGAGGCGGCCTGGGCGCTGCCGAAGAGGTCGCCAGGGCCGCGCTGGAAGGCGGCCAGGCGGCCCTGGACGGCGGCAACGCTGCGGAGGCGATACGGCTCTTCAGCGAGGCCGTGAGGGGCGCCACGGAAGCTTCCCAGCAGGGTTTCCAGTGGCAGCACCAGCTGGAGGGCGTGTCGCTGTTGGCGTACGCCCTGCGCGCTCGCTCGGAGGCGGCCCTAGTGTGTGGCCGGCACGATGATGCCCACGTGGATGCGGAGGCGGCGTGCAGGCTCGCCCCGAGCTGCCTGAAGACGCGCCACGCGCTGGCCCTCACGAGCATCGCCACCAGCCATCTCGAAGGTGCCGTCGAGGCTTACAGAGAGGCGCTCCGGCTCCAGCCGGAGCCTCCTCTGGCCGACCTCCTGTGCGATGAGCTGCGGCAGGCCATGCAGTTTTTGCTGGGCTCGCGCCTGGTTGACAGTTGTCGTTTCACACTTGAGGCGTTCAGCTTCAGCGCGAAAGATGTGTGGAACCTTGCTGACGGCTGCCAGGAGCGCCAGTTCGCGCTGCTGCACCAGGCCTCTTCTTGGAGGCCGGGGCTGCAAATCCCGTACCTGCTGACGCTGCCGAGAGACGTCTGCGCACGGGAGCCAACGGGAGAGCAGAAGTCGTACCCTCTCATTGTCTATCTGCATGGTGGGGCCTCCGCAGACATCTGCAAGGGCGACGTCATGCGCAGGCAGCTGGAGTTTATAGTCGAGAGCAGCCCCTTCGGCAGGCTGGTGGAACGGCACGGCGGACTTCCTGGGCTGCTTGGATCGTTCATCAGCCTGGCACCCTGTTGTCCTCCAAACGTCCAGGCGCTAGGCGGTCAGCAGTGCAAGGCGGACGGCAGACGGAAGGTATATTGGTTCAAGACCTGCGAGACGTCGGCCTACAACGGCTGGACGTTCTCTGGCGCGCGGCGCTGCAGGGAGGTGGAGCTGCTGGTGACAGAGCTGCTGGATGATATCTGTCGAGACTTGCCGGTAGACCTTGGCCGGATATACCTCGTCGGGGCCTCCGCCGGGGGGTATGGCGTGTTGCGCCTGGCAGAGCTGCTGCCAGGTTTGGCGGCGGCCGTGGTGCCCATGTGCGGCTACTACCCGTCCATCCCCGAGCACGACCACGACCTGCGCGTACTCGCGGAGCGGCTCCGCGGCGGCCCCGCGGTGCTGCCGATGCACTGCAAGCAGGACAAGGTGTGCCAGCCGCACATGCCGTGCATCAGTGACACGTATCGCATGCTCGAGCAGTGTTGCGGTGCGCAGGTTCGCTGGGTCAGCTCGGTGGGGCCCGACTACCACAAGCTGGACCACGAGATCGTGAACGACCCTGGCTCGTTCCTGCAGCAGCTGCTGAGCTCGAAGAAGAAAACACGCCACAAGCATAAACTCTTGGCACCCCGCGCGGATTCCTTGCATCCGCGCTGAGCCCTCCCCCCCGGCGGCGCCCCTGGCGCGCGCCCCTGGCGCGCCGCCGCGCGCCAGGGATCGAGGGGGGCTCCAGCGCGGAGGCAAGAAATCCGCGCGGAGCGCCCAAAGCTTCTGTTCACGGCGCTTCTTTCTTCTTCTGTGAGCTACGAGCGGCCCGAGAAGCGGGGGCGCGCGGGCGTGCTGCCAGAGGCGCGGAGGCGGCTGCGCGAGCAGCTGCCGGCGGCGCCGCCGGCATGAGGCGCCGCCGCACGTCCAGCACGTGCGGTGCGGCCGTGAGCGCGGCAGCCGCCCTAGGCCGCGAGCGCGGCGCGGGCCGCAGGGGGCGCGGGCTCGGGGTCGGCACGGGCTGGGGGGGCGGAGCAGATGGCGTCGGAGGATCGCGCCGCACCGCCGATGCATCGCCGATGCAGCTCGATGTGGAGCCCGATTTCCTTCACGTCGACGTCGCCGATGCATCGCCCACGTCGACGCCACATCGCCGGTGCATCGCCGATGAATCGCCAGTGTATCGGCGATGCGGCGCCGTCCTCCGGCCCCATCTACTCCGACCCCATCTAGGAGCCCTCTAGTTTCCCAGCTCTCCTTGGTTGGGTATTCGTTTTGAATAGAGCATTGCGGCCGCGTCTTCTCCTCCTCCTCCTCCCGCCTCCCGCCTTGTGCGTGCCTTGTGTGTGTGTGTGTGCGCATCTTGCCTGCGGTACCCCTCGTGTGTGCATCTTGCCTGCGGGATTGCGTTCTGCGAAGTTGTCGCAACTTTCGAGGGCTGCTGGGGGGGACAGAGTGGGTACCCACCGCGGACCCAAATTAGACCTCGCCATCCCTGGGGGGCTGCGATTTGCGAAACTGTCGCCACTTTCGAGGGCTGCTGGGGGTGGCCAGCTCTAGTGTGTAGCCGCCGCGGACCCAAATTAGACCTCGCCATCCTTGGGGGGGCTACGATCTGCGAAACTGTCACCACTTTCTAGGGCTGCAAGGGGGGACAGCATAGTGGGTAGCCGCCCTGGATCCAAATTAGACCTCGCCATCCCTGGGGGGCTGCAATTTGCGAAGCTGTCGCCCTTTCGAGGGCTGATCGGGGGGTCAGCATAGTGGGTGGTTGCCGCCGCAGACCCAAATGATTCCTCTCAATCCCTGGGGGGCTGCGATTTGCGGAACCGTCGCCACTTTCGAAGGTTGCTTGGGGGGCCAGCATAGTGGGCAGCCGCCGCAGACCCAGATTAGTCCTCGCCATCTCTGAGGGTCTGCGATCTGCGAAACCGTCGCCACTTTCGAGGGGGGCTGCGATCTGCGAAACCGTCGCCACTTCCGAGGGCTGCTCGGGGGGCCAGCTATAGTGTGTAGCCGCCGCAGATCCAAATTAGACCTCGCCATCCTTGGGGGCGCTGCGATTTGCGAAACTATCGCCAATTCCGAGGGCTGCTGAGGGGGGACAGCCTAGTGGGCAGCCGCCGCAGACCCAGATTAGACCTCGCCATCCCTGGGGGCTGCGATTTGCGAAACCTTCGCCACTTTCGAGGTCTGCTTGGGGGGCCAGCCATAGTGGGTACCCGCCGCAACTGTCGCCACTTTCGAGGGCTGCTGGGGGGGCCAGCTCTAGTGTGTGGCCGCCGCGGGCCCAAATTAGACCTCGCCATCCCCGGGGGGGCTGCGTTTTGCGAAACCGTCGCCACTTTCGAGGGCTGCTTGGGAGCCAGCATAGCGATCTGCGAAACTGTCACCAATTTCGAGGGCTGCTGGTGGGTCCAGCGGAGTGAGGCATCGCGCAGATCTGAGCGAGACCTCGCCGTTCCTGGGGGGGCTGCGATCTGCGAAACCGTCGCCAGTTTCAAAGGCTGCTGGCGGGTCCAACGGAATGAGGCACCGCGCAGATCTGAGCGGGACGTCGCCGTCCTTGGGAGGCTGCGATCTGCGAAACCGTCGCTATTTTCGAAGGTTGGTGGCGGGTCCAGCAGAGTGAGGCACCACGCAGATCTGAGCGGGAGCTCGCAATCCCTAGGGGGCTGCGAGCCTCACGAATGCCGTTCGCAGAAGTATATGCGCCCATGTCACGTCATCACCCCCGTATAGCGTCTCCCAAGCTACTCATGCCCTGCATTGCGCAGGGGTGGTTGGGTACGTCGCCAGGGTAATTTCCCAACCATCCTGTGGTGGTGGGTCCTCGTTTTGTGAGACAGCGGCCCGCGTCACTCACTCCTCCTCCTCCCCCTCTCCCTCCTCCTCCCTCCTCCCCTCGGTGCCTCTGCTCTCCGCATGCCCGTCCGCAGCCTGCAGGTGGAGCGAATCGCATCATACATGTTTTGGTCGCGGCGCGGGCGCACGCTGCGCGCGAGGTGACCGAACCAGACTGCGCGCGAGGTAGCCCAGATTGTCCTGGCGAAGGGCCCAACCACATGCGGACCCTGCCACTGAGGCCTTCGGTGGAGCTCCCTTTGGCGCCACGAACCGTGTGAGGGGTTGCCGAAATGGGGCGGCGGTGCCATGCGGGCCCTGCCACTGAGGCCTTCGGCGGAGCCCCCTTTGGCGCCACGAACCGTGTGAGGGGTGTGCCGAAGTGGGGCGGCGGTGCCATGCGGACGGGGGCCTTCGGTGGATCTCCCTATGGCGCCACGAACCGTGTGAGGGGTGTGCCGAAATGGGGCGGCGGTGCCATGCGGACCTCGCAACTAAGGCCTTCGGTGGAGCTCCCTATGGGGCCACGAACCGTGTGAAGGGTGTGCCGAACTGGGACGGCGGTGCCATGCGGACCCTGCCATTGGGGCATTCGGTGGAGCTCCCTACGGGGCCACGAACCGTGTGAGGGGTGTGCCGAAATGGGGCGGCGGTGCCATGCGGGCACTGCCACTGGGGCCTTCGGTGGAGCTTCCGAATGTGCCACGAACCGTGTGAGGGGTGTGCCGAAATGGGGCGGCGGTGCCATGCGGACCCTGCCTGGGGCCTTCGGTGGAGCTCCCTATGGGGCCACGAACTGTGTGAGGGGTGTGCCGAAATGGACGGAGTTGCCAGGCGGACCATGCCTCCTTATGGCGCCACGAACCGTGTGAGGGGTGTCCCCGAATGGGGCGGCGGTGCCATGCGGGCCCTGCCACTGGGGCCTTCGGTGGAGCTCACTATGGCGCCACGAACCGTGTGAGGGGTGTGCCAAAATGGGGCGGCGGTGCCATGCGGACCGGGGCCTTGAGGAGCTCCCTATGGCGCCACGAGCCGTGTGAGCGGTGTGCTGAAATGGGGTGGCGGTGCCATGCGGACCATGCCATTGGGGCCTTCGGTGGAACCCTCGATGGGGTCACGAACCGTGTGGAACCGTGTGAGGGGTGTGCCGAAATGATGGGATGATGATGATGATGATGATGATGATGATGATGATGATGATGATGATGATGATGATGATGATGATGATGATGATGATGATGATGATGATGATGATGATGATGATGATGATGATGATGATGATGATGATGATGATGATGATGATGATGATGATGGCGATGACGATGACGATGACGATGATGACGACGATGACGATGACGATGACTATGACGATGACGATGCTGATGACGACGATGATGATGACGGGAGGAGGGAGGGGGAGAGGGACGGGGAGGAGGAGGGAGGAGGAGGAGGAGGAGGAGGAGGAGGAAGAGGAGGAGGAAGAGGAGGAGGAGGAGGAGGAGGAGGAGAGGAGGAGAGGAGGAGGAGACGCGGGGCGCTGCCTCTTCAAAACGAGGACCCAACACCGCAGGATGGTTGAGGAAAACGAGGTCCTCAAGACGGCCCGCGAGGACCCCCGGACGGTGGCTACCAAGACGCCAAACAAGTCCTCCACGAGTACCCCAGAGCACCCCAAAACTGCCCAAGAGCACTCCAAGGAGCCCACCAGAGGGCCTCCCAAGACAACAGTTACTCCCCGTATCCTAAGTATGGGGTTGTAGTTATTGCTAGGACGCCTCCGCCTTCTCACGCCCACCTCCTTCGCCATGTCATCACACTCACATCACTCATATCCAGTCTCACTCACAGTCAGACCCACTCAGGCTCAGGCTCACTCACGATCAGAACGAGTCAGCTCTCACTCAGATCACGCATATGCAGACTCATTCACACTCAGACTCACTCACACTCAGGCCCACTGATACCAGACCTGCTCGCACTCAGACTCACTCATACACAGACCACTCGTACTCAGATCCAGTTACACCCAGACAAGTCATATCCATAACCATGTGAATATACCACTCACAGTATGATGCGCCACAGTCAGAATATGATGGTCGCAGCATAGCAGGCGTGGAATCTGGAGGCCCCGAGGGGGCCGCCAGGGGGTACTTGCACCCGCCCGTTCGCAGCCAGGTTGCGGAGACATCCCTGGCGGGCTGCCCGCTTCGCGGCCCAGACTCTGACTCCCCGGAGCAGATCGCACCGCGAGGATGTCCCGAGCAAGCGCCTGCCTCCAGCACCACAGAGAGAGGGGGGGGGGGCGGGGGGGGAGGGGCCCGACGCTCGCCCGCTCGCGCCACGACTGCGAGGACGCCTCGGGCGGCGTGCTCGCGCCGTGGCCCAGACTCCTTCCTTTTGGGGGGGCGCCCCGCGACCCCCCCGCGACCCGTCGCAGGGGAAGCGGCCCCGGGCACCCCCGGGAGGGGGAGCCGCCGGGGAGCCCGCAGTCGCCGCGGGCGGAGGCTCTCCCGTGCAGACGCCCGAGGAGGAGGAGGAGGAGGAGGAGGAGGAGGAGGAGAGGAGAGGAGGAGAGGAGGGAGGAGGAGGGGGAGGGGGAGGAGAGGAGGAGGAGGAGGAGGAGGGAGGAGGAGGAGGAGAGGAGGAGGAGGAGGAGGAGGTGCACATGTGGGGACCTCTGCGTCGAAGAAGTATGTGCCCTTCAGTTTGGCACCGAGGTGTGCGCCCTCGCCTGCTCGCGCATCCGACGAGCCAAGACGGCCCCGGGACGGCCCAGAAACCTCCAAGGCGGCCCAAGAGGCCCCCGAAACAGGTCCTGGAGCCCCCCAAGAGGGCCCCCGTGAAGGGCTCCGCATAGTGAGATCAAATTGGTCGTTGGATCTTTTCCAGCTGAGATAGTTCTGAGTACCTCCAGCGTGCCCCCCCCCCCCAAGACGGCCCAAGAACGCTCCAAGCCCTTGCAGAGGACCTCCAAAGACAAGCAACATGGCCGGCTGCCCCTTGTGTTTCAGCGGTGTGTGCACCCTCGCTTGTCCCCGAGTCCGACAGCCCACGGCCCCAAGATG